AAAGAAATCGTTCCTGGGCCCTCCGTGGTGGTGCAGTGGATTAAAACACAGCACTAAGAAGCTAAAGCCACTTCCGCATGAATTATATGAGTTTGATCCCCGCCCGCCCCGGAGGTGACCACATGGCGTGGCAGACCTCTCCTGACTGCCCGCTGCTCCCCTCAGCAGTGTGCTTCATCGATCTACCTGTTCTGCTCCCCATTCTGTCTCTGTGAATCCTCTCACCGCCCCTGTACCTCTGGCCTATACCCCAGTTCTGTGTCCATAAATAAATAAATCTTTGAAAAAAAAAAAATTTCATCCCTGGATTTTGAATCACGGTTTGCTCAGGCTAGAGAGGAATTCACTGATGTTTTCCTTCTAACCTTAAGCAATTTTATTTTTTATATGTAAATTTCTGGCTCATTGGAAGATTATCATAGTGTTGGGTTGCAGGAATGACTCTGTCTTTCATTGTGACTACCTGTTTATCTCAACCTAACTTGTAAAAAGTTCATTTCCCCCCATCTGATGCAGCTTTTAGTGTCATATGCAACTAGTCTATTTCCAAACTTTTGAATTCCGTCCTATTGGTTTATCTTTCTGCTGATGTCCTAATATTAATCTTGAGAAACTTTCTATAGCCTTTAGTAACTGTTTGAGTTAGCTGTTTTCTTGCTGCTCTTTTTAAAAATTGGGTTTTCTGTTTTGTTTTTTTTTTTAGGAAAGATTACCATAGTCATGATACTTAGTATTTTTATACAATATCAAGGTATATGTTTCTATTGTTCAAGCTTATCTGTCTTTCAGGAGTTATAACATTTCTCTTTGGATATTTTTATCTTTTGATATAACTTTAACATAATACCGTGAACCTTTTTATTTAGGTTTTATACTTTCAACCTTGAGCCTCATACTACTGAATAATTTCCTGTCATAATTTCTGTAATAAGGAAAACTGTGAGACACATATCAGAGGCTCCTTTGATCTTTGGTTTAGAAGAGGACCCTAGATTTTGTTGGTTGTAGTCATTCTAGAGCAGGTACTCAGAAACATTCATAAATATGTGTAACTTTCCCTGGTTGGAGATGGTTGTCAGAACCACCAGCCAGACAGTAACACTGGAATTTCTGCTATTGCTCATGGATGTCATTGTTGCCAGGTCTAGATCATCCTTAGTAGGCTGGGAAGTTTTATTACTGTGGGAAAGACATGAGAAATGTGTATAACTTGGGAATATCTGCCCTTAATAAAAATGCATGAAATTATAGTTCCAGAAAAGGACATGAAACAGAAAAGTTACCTTTATCCCAATTTCCAAAAGATAGCATCATTAAAAAAATTTTAAAATTCAGCCAGATTTTTTATGCCAATAAATAGAATGAAACTCTGATTATTGAGTACATTGGATTGCCAGGAAAGTCATGATAATGCATTTTGCTTGAAAAACATAGAAAAACTACATCATGACTTTTCCAACAACCCAGTAGTATGTAAAATGATATAACCTCTTTCCTCTGTGCTTTGCAAGCTCCTGACACACACACACACATATGCAGGGGTTCCCTGAAACTTGGTATTTGGTAAAGTGATAGTAAAGATTAGTGTCAAGCTTTCCTGTGTCTTCTGCCTTTTTCTTGACACTTTACACAGAAACTATTAAAATGAATCAAAGTATTTAGAAGGTCTATTTTTGTATATATAAACTTTTACTTCTGAGCATAAAGCTGATCTCTGCAATAAAACGAAATCCTTTCTTTAATGATTTTGCATCTACTTTTTTCTAACCCATTCCTTTCTTTTCCTCTATCAGAGGTTACTTTATTGGGAGGGGGGCACTATAAAAGAAAGTAATGTGGAGAATTATTGTAGTTACACAAAATTTGGGGAAGAAAGCACAGGAGTAACCATTTCTCCTTGGAGCTGATTTGTTGTGTGTGACCCCTTTGTATAGATGGAGTTGTTTATGCGTGGGGCCACAATGGATATAGCCAGCTGGGGAATGGGACAACCAACCAAGGCATTGCTCCCATTCAAGTCTGCACCAATCTCTTGATCAAGCAAGTAGTTGAAGTGGCTTGCGGCTCACATCACTCAATGGCTCTGGCAGCTGATGGAGAGGTAAGCTCACTGTTTCACTGTTTAGTTTTAAATTCTAGTAACATTTGATATACACAGTATATCAAATTTACATCTTAACTGTTCTTAAGTTTAGAGTGCAGTGATGTTAGGTACATTCATTTTGTTGTGCTACCACTACCCACCCATAGAATGCCTCTCTTTCTATGAAATTCTGTGCCAATTAAACAAAGATGTCCCCATTTCCCCCTTCTCCAGCCCTCCGCAAACACCGTTTTACTTTTTGTCCCTATGAATTTGACCATTCTAGGTGTGCATGTGCGTGGAATCAGACAGTATCTATCTTGTGACAGGATTTTCACAAGATAGCATCCTGTCTTCAGTCTTCACCTATATTGTAGCATGTGTCAGAATTTCCTTTTTAAGTCTGAACAATAATATTCCAATGTAGGTACATACCACATTTTGCTTATCCATTTATGTGCCATTAGACATTTAGCTTGTTTCCACTTTTTAAGGCTCTTATGAAAATACCTTGCTTAAAAAAATAATGACTGTATTTGTACTTGTTAAAGTGTGGTAGTTTTCTCTCCTTTGTTAAATTTAATGATCCTTTTCCTTAAGGTCTGTGCTTGTTTTTCAGTAAATGTAATTATGGAATGGAAAATAACTTTACCAGCATTCCAGCACATACTATTCCATTTGTTCAGACCCAGGTTCATTGCTGAGCTTAACCATTGATCTATTGATTTCACCTTCTTAATCTCCTGTATCATTTTTTCCATCTTTATCTCCATAACCTTAGGTCAGTCTTATCATCTGCTGGGCTTTTGGAAGAGGATCATGTTTGCTTTTATTCCATAGCTTTTTCATTGACCTACCTGTTCAGTTCTACTTTTCTGTACTCCTGTGATTTCCACAACACAAATTTAGTCATATTGTCTCCTGTTTAAAGCCGTTCAGTGGTATTACAACGATTTTACTAAATAGGACCAGTTATGAATAAATTGGCCAGAAGACTTAGTTTTATGGCTGTGGTGTGCTGGAACAGGTCTTGCCTACTGGCCTTCTACCCTGGAATCCAGTTTCCTAGTTTTTGCCTTGGTTAGTGGAATCACAGACTCCATTTTAAAAATAACAGGCAGATGCATTGCATGGAAACTTAGGATATTTGAGAAGAACAACAGAATGATTGTCTAGAACTCACTGATTTGTAAGCAGCCTTTCCTGGTTTATTTTGACTTTAAGCATATGTTGCTTGGGTAATTATGCTAAATATTTGCATTATTATAGCTGGTATTCCTGTGAATCCACTTTTAGGAAGTGTTACAGGTTATTTCTTGTGTAGCTGTGAAGTGAACCTGTAGCACATATTATTTTAAGACATTGCAGTGGGTTTTACTGTTTTTGCTTTGGGCAGCATCAGATGTGTGAACTTAGACAAAAAGTGGTAGCAAAAGAAAGAACAAGCTGTGGAGTGAGAACTCAAGGTATGTGAGGACCACCTCTTGCAGGCAGATGAAAGACAGGACCTAAGAAATGCCAGTAGTATTGGAGGAAGTTATTTCCTCTAATGCCAATATCCCCTACCTCCTAACTCTTCTTTCTGGCCACACTACTGTTTGATAGGATCAGTTAAAGTGGTTTTTGTTGTTGTTGTTGTTTTTCATCTTTGTTAGTAGATTTTAGCTGTCTTGGACATCTGTTTGTACCTCTAACCTTTACATCCTTGGTTTCAGGTCACAGCTGATATCACAGGCCAAAAGTAAGTGAGGTACAGTTGAGGAGAACTGCTTGAAGCTGGCAAATGAGAGCTCAGAGAAAATACTGCCAAGAATAGCCTTAGCAACCTGATGTCACTTCTGTAGGGATGAGCATCTCTTTAGTACTTGTGAGCGCTAATGTGTCATAATGTGGCGCTGTGATTAGTAATTATAACCATGATGGTCCTGAGTCATCAGCAAATGTTATGTAAGTCCGATATTGGTGATTAGTAAGAAAAGAAAAAAAACACTGTATGGTTTCAAAAGATTTCCATGAGAAAAAAGAGTATTTGTACCCAAAGAATTAAACAGGTTTTTCACATCACCAATTCTTATGTGGCATATAATTCATTTCCTGTTGATGCCTGATTAAGTATATACACACATGCACATATATCTGCCATAACTATAGAGGCAGTGTTGCACAGTGGTTAGGAACACAGCTGCATTGCTTGGGATCAAATTCCACTCCTACTGCTTACTAGGAGTAGATCCTCAAATAAATTACTTAATCTCTTTGTGTTTCCATTTTTATATATAAAGTGGGAATGATTAATAACAGTATCTTGCTAGGGTAACCTTACAGGATTACTATGGGGATTAAGGAGATTAATGCATATAAAATATGTAGAGCCATTTAGCACGTTCTAAATGCCCATTAAATAGGTTTTTTTTTTCCTTGATCATGATGTGTCCTAGAAGTAGCATTTTCACTGCATCGTTCTTTTTCTTTTTGTTTCTCTTATGTAGGTGTTTGCTTGGGGATATAACAACTGTGGCCAGGTGGGATCAGGATCTACAGCAAATCAACCAACTCCCCGAAAAGTTACAAACTGTTTACATATTAAGAGGGTAGTTGGCATTGCTTGTGGCCAGACGTCATCCATGGCTGTACTGGACAATGGTGAGGTGAGCTGTCTCTGTGTTCTCCTTCCCTTCCTCTTTCAATGAAATGTTATGGAAGCATGTGTGCTTTCTTTTGATAGTTCCCTGCTTACTGACAGAGCAAATAAGCAGAGGATATTTGCTCATTAGTATCATTTTTTGAATTCCAAGATTTACTTGTAAGTAAAGATCCTGATGCATTTAAGTTTCTTTGGTGGTAGTGGGTGGGGGATGTGTGATGGTGGTGTGTATGATTCAGATAGTCTAATGCTTATAAGTTTGTATTTGTCATTTAATGTAATGGACTAAAGCATTTGATGCTGCCTTTCTCTTCCAAGTTAAAAAATCAACTAAGCACTCTGACCTAGCCTATGGTGTTTATAAGCAGACCTGACTTTAGTGGGCATGAAGTTTCTTTATGTCCCTACATCTAGAATGTTTGCTCACAGGAGGAAGCAACTTGTAAAAGCATGAATTTTTGTCCTGCTTGTTAACCACTTAAGCAACCTCCCTGGTGGTGTAAGTGATTAATGTCAGCAATACCAAGCTATCAGCAGCCACTGGGGCACAAATTCTATCCCTGGTCAGGTTGCTAACCCACATAGTACAGCAAACCTCTCCTGTCTCACCTGTTGCTCCCCTCAACATCTTATTTCTGCCATTCTGCCTGTTCTGCTCCCTACTCTGTCTTTGGTGAATCCTCTCACCTTCTGCACCTCTGACCTACACCACAGCTCTTGTATGCATAAATAAATAAATCTTTAAAAATAACAACCACAGGCCCTCCCTGGTGGCGCAGCGGGTTAAAGCACAGCACTGAGAATCTGAAGCCACTTCCGTATGAGTTCGATTCCCGCCTGCCGCCTGCCCCGGAGGAGACCACATGGCGAGCCAGACCTCTCCTGACCCGCCCGCTGCTCCCCTCAGCAGTGTACTTCGTCGATCTGCCTGTTCTGCTCCCCACTCTGTCTCTGGTGAAGCCTCTCACCGTCCCTGAGCCTCTGGCCTGTACCCCAGTTCTGTATGAATAAATAAATCTTTAAAAAAAAACAAACAAACAAACAAAAAATAACAACCACAACCCATCTTTCAGTTACCATCTACTGAGCTCACTTTAGAGCTGGTGATAATTTCTATAAAATTATTCTGGTTGCAACTTCTATATAAGTGGATCTGTTACAATCTTTGCATATTTTAGTGCATGAAAGTTAATTACACAAAGGTGATTCCTTGGATACAGAATCAGGTGCCCTACACTGGAGTACTAGAACCTGTCGGAGTTTACTGAATGCTCACCAAGTTAACTTTCTGAATCAGTTCTGATATAATCCTGAATGAGTTCATAATTCCTAGGGATAATCATTCCACCCTTTATTCTAATATCCTTCACTTCTCCATTATTTTTTAGAATAAATTTATTTTAAAAATTATTATGTGGTTATTTTAACAAAAGAAGACAAAAGAAACATGTTAAGATAAATCCTTTCTTATAGTTTGATTTGTATTGTTTGGGACTTTCTTTTGTAAATAATTACATATGGTTGAGCATAGTTACCTTTTAAATAATGGGTTATTATATCTACTCCTTTTCTCTGCCATTCTGCACCTTCCCTGCTTAATATGTTTTACATGAATCTATTCTTAGACCACTTGTAGTTGCACTTCATATATGGCTGCTTAGCTTTCCTTGTGTAATCACCCAATTCCAGAACTCTACTGAAGAAAAGTTGCAATTGCTGTTATACACAGTGTTGCTGATGATGGTTAAAAACTGTGACTCGTTATGTCTCTTTGTGCACTTATGCAAGTGTTTCTCTAACAGTTCCCAGAAATAGAATTTCTGGGTCAGGGCGTATTCCCTTAAAAATTGTGACAGCTCAGGCCCTCCCTGGTAGCATGAGTTAGGGCACTATGAAGCTGTTACAGCCACTGCATCAGGAGTTCAATCCCCGGCCAGGGGGGTGACCCACATGGCGTGGCAGATCTCTCCTGACCCGCCTGCTGCTCCCCTCAGCAGTGTATTTCAGGCCATCTGCCTGTTCTGCTCTCCTCATTATCTCTGGTGAATCCTCTCATCCCCCACATCTCTGGCCTGTATCCCAATTCTGTATGTATAAATAAATAAATCTTTTAAGAACAGTTTGTGACAGACAGCTCATGCCAACTTTCTGTGCAGCAAGTTCAAACATACTACACTCCTGACTTTGAAAGTGCATTTAGCCAGCTTTTGCTACTTCCCCAAAGTCTGTGTCTCCTTTTCCTTTCTGTCATGTTGCCCTGAAAAGTCCTACATGATGCCCTTTGCCCTGTATTGCCCTGGGTCATGAGGCCCACACATTGTGGATTTCTTGTTTGGGCTGGACCTTTATTGCATTCCTGGCCAGCGCTTTCCCCCGTGTCCCACACATGTCCTAAACTATTAACGCTTCTGCCAGTCCCATGCCCAGCTCTGCCCTGATCTTTCCAAAATGCAAACTTAATTATGTTAGTCTCTGTTTTGAAGTATTTCAGCCAGATGTCCACATGTGCATTCCACCTTCCCTGTTTTTTTGGCTTTTTTTTGTAATTTTATCCCTCATGGACCTGACTTTCCTTCTAGATTTTCCCCTGCCAACTTCTACCTCAGCAAACCTGCCTCTAACACATTCTGTGCCTGTTGCTGGAAAATCTTCACCTGCATTCATCCTTCACTCTGCTCAGGTCTCCACTTTCTGAAAAGTCTTACCTGAGCTTTCTTCCTATCGCTAACTACTCCTGATAGTTATATCACTCATTAAGCACTTGCCACATGACTACAAAAAAAAAGCTGCAAATATTGTTCACAATGTATGACATTTAGTAGGTGCTTGATAATTAACCTCAGTTTCCTTGTGTATAAAACAAGAATTAGTTATTTGCCCACTTCTATCGATCTACTAAGTTTTGAGTGAGAACTGATGCCGGATTCTCTCACCCCTAAAATATCTTCTATTTGGGCATCAGTTGGGTTCCATCCCAAAGGCTAGAGAGTAGGAATTGGAAATGAAAAATACCAGGTTTGTCTAGATGAGCTACATCTTAATTTTTCCCTTTATATGAGCCCTTGTAAAAGTCCATTCTCTCCCTTCTCTTTCTAAGGTGTATGGCTGGGGTTACAATGGCAATGGTCAGTTGGGCTTGGGAAACAACGGTAATCAGCTGACACCCGTGAGAGTGGCGGCTTTGCACAGCGTGTGTGTGAACCAGGTACGTGTGGTAGACATTTAGCTTCTAATCTCTGCCTGTCTCCCTTGCTCTGATATGGAGAAATAACTGGAGATTTACTCGTTAGTACATTTTTGTGAGTAATACCAGTGCCTCCATTTTCCACACTAAATATCACATCCTTCACAAATTCCCATGATGTGGGGGAGTACCATGGTGGGCCAAACAGTCTTGATTAGCATTTAAAAAGTGATCAGAAAATCCAGGACTCTCAGGTTTAGCCTTTTCTAATGCTTTTTCAATATGCCAGAAAATGTCAGTCCACACCTGCTGGTGAATTGGCATTCTGCAGAAGCTGGCTGTAATCTGAAGTAGACGTTTCCCTGCCCTTCCTGTTTTCCTGTTTGTGGTAACCATTTAAATTTACTTGCAGATTGTCTGCGGCTATGCACACACTCTAGCACTAACAGATGAGGGCTTGCTCTATGCCTGGGGAGCTAACACGTATGGGCAGCTGGGAACTGGCAATAAAAATAACCTGCTAAGCCCAGCACACATCATGGTGGAGAAAGAAAGGTAACTTGGCTGTACCATGTCTTGGGAGTGTGTGTGGACTTGGGACTGTTGTGCTAGAGCTCTGGTGTTTGGCTTTGTAACTCTCTGTTTATTAACATTCTCATTTTGTACAAAAGAGTTTGAGTACCAGCAGAATGAACACAGGGTTAATGTGATTCTTAGGTCATTTTCTAAAATAATCCCTGGTGATTGAGAAGCTAGGTGTACCTTAGTGTAATTCCTACACTTCTTGCTCATTTACTAGGGAGGTAAATTAAGGTCCATCACCATTTTCAGTTGAAAGTGCCATGCAATTTTTTTCTTTGAGCCAGCTAAAACAGTTTTAGTTTTCTTGAAACTGCCCTTGAAAGGCCATTATCTATTTACGTATTGATTTAATTTAACGTATATTATTGGAATAGATGCTTAATGTCACTCAGCCACATTGTGTGGTCTTATGCATTAAGTTTCAGAGTGTTCACTTTAGACTCTTGGGCCCTTGCCTAAGAATCATACTGAGAAACAGACCAACTTTGGCTTGATGTGCACATGGATTGGGATGGTCTGAATTTGTGACCCCTAGACCAGTATCATCATTCCCCGCTCTGATGGCAGGGAGTGACAGGACAAGTTGTGTTTGTGAGAAAATGGTGCACAAAGGCAGTATTTCTTTACTACTCTAAGCCCCCAGCACTGTCACTGTCCACCTTCCAATTTACTTTAGTTTCTAGTCACCATTTCCAAGTTTTCCTCAATAGTGTACACTATCCTAACTCAGAATGAGGTTAGGATAAGCAGTGAATGATCCAGGAAGGGAGAAACATGTAACTCTTGCACTGGTCTTTTGGTTTTGTCTACATTACTGGCAGCTAATATCCTTGGGTCTTGGATGGTGTTTTGAAGTGCTCAAAGCATGAACTTCACATTTACCTTGTGTGGTGTGCTGTGGGGCTTCTCTGAAACAGAAGGAAGGTGATGTATTTTAGCAATCCTTTTTCTTAACTGTATAAAGCATGCATTTTCTTAAAATGTTATAGGGTGGTAGAGATCGCAGCCTGCCACTCTGCCCACACCTCGGCTGCCAAGACCCAGGGCGGGCACGTGTACATGTGGGGCCAGTGCCGGGGCCAGTCGGTGATCCTGCCGCACCTCACCCACTTCTCCTGCACCGACGACGTGTTCGCCTGCTTTGCCACCCCCGCCGTCTCGTGGCGCCTCCTGTCCGTGGGTAAGAACAGTCAGGGCTGCGCCCACCAGGAGTGCCCATCGTTACTGTCCTCTGGCCAGTTTGCTTGCATATTGCTGCTGTGAGCTATTTCAAGTTTTAGAGTATTTTATTCTCCATTAGCTTTTACACCTCTCCCCAAGCTAGATGTGCATAATATAGTTTACAATATCTAATGAAATCTTACATGGACTTACCATTTTCTTCCCTTAAGTGCATTCCCTATAGTGGAGGTGAATTTATCTATATAAAAAGTAACCATTTTAAGTGTTCAGATATTTAGTTCATTTGCAATGTTGTACAATGTTTTATTTTTCAGCTTATTTTTGTTGATATTGAAGTGCCATTATTTCACATACTTACTAGTTTTGTGTTTGTGGTTTTGTCCCCTCTCACTTGCGCTCCCCACCACAAACCTCATATCATCTGTCAGTTTTCAAGAGTTGGTTTAAAGTTTGTCTTTGTCTGGCTCTTAGTTTGATTTCTCTATTTCTCATGTAAGTGGAACCATTAGTATTTACAGTACTCCTTCTGATTTATTTCACTTGGCTTAATCCTTTCCAGCTGCACCCATGGTGCCATATGATATAAGTTTACCTTTTTTGATTGCTGAGTAAATATATGACATTTTTTTGACCCACAAATCTGTTTTTGAGCGCTTAAACAAATTCTAAAACATTTCATCATCCTAAAAGAAAACTCTGTATTCATTATGCAGTCATTCTGCATTCTCGGTCTCTCCCAAACCCTGGCAGGAAGTTCCTTTTTTATCTGTGTATTTGCCTATTCTGGGTGTTTCCTATCAGTGAAATGATACATATACAACTTTTTGTATTTGGTTTCTTTAATACTTGGAGATCCATCCATGTTGTAGATACTTCATTTTTTTAAGTGACTGAGTAATATTCCGTTTTATGTGTATGTCACATTTTATTTGTCCATTTATCTGTTGGACATTTGGATGTCCACATTTTGACTATTGTGAATAGTGTTATGAACATTCATGTCCAAATATTTGTTTGCATAACCTGTTCCTAAGTGGTTTTGTCATACTAAATTTATTACATGATTGAATATAGTATAGACCAAAAATAAGTTTTAAATGAAAACTTACAGTTTTTAAGATGGTATGTCATCTCCACTTTATTTCAACCAATCTCAAATACAGAGTCATGGTAAAGGATAGTAATTCAGGGTGAGGGATGATGTAATCTGTCCCTTATTTGAATATTGTCATCTTCACAAGTCCATTATTCATCAAAATTGTTAAGATGTCATAAAAACTGAGCCATTAACAAGATGACTTTACTTTTTAAAATTTTTTTATTCATTTCTATTCTCTTACCAATGTATGCTAAGTTATTCTTTCATTTGTATTCAGAGGGAATAAATGGGCAGGATGCTCTGTGCTTGAAAATTAATGTAACTCTTGACAAGCAAGGGACTTGGGTTGCTCAGCAGTTGATATTGAAGGCCAGTTTTGCAATACTGTTAAGTGTCTCAGCTGTCACTAGGTGACCAGCTTCATGGTCCTGGGGTATGCCTAAGAATAGCTACCTTGCTAGTCACTGTCAAACAACAAAGGTTGAATGTCCTCAGGTTTCTTGACTATAATATTTTTCTTTATACTACTTTTCTTTATAATAACACAATTTCACTTACATATAATCATAACAGTTATTCTCCTTATCAGGCAATAGAGAATATTTTTGTTGACTTTGAATATACATTGCTACTAAGCAAATTTGCTTTGCTTTTAAGGTTTATTGTTTGTACACTAATTTCTATGGTTGAGAATAATTTGATTTCATATACAGAGATTAAAGGGTTTCTCTGTGAGAGCATGATTGCTTAGCACTACCAGAAAGTGGTGGGTTTATTTTTTGAGACTCCTTGGGTTCAATTTATCAACACCTTGAAACTACCCAGAGATGAGCAAAAGTGTTTTTAGTATTTCAGTCAATACCTGATAAATTCTTATCCTTAGAAGAGAACCATCCAAGCATTGAGCTAGTTGTTCTATAATTAAGGACACCTTATAAATTTTTCTTTTTTAAAGAAATATACATTTTAATGTCTAACAGAATATTAGACGAGCATTTTACCTTTACAAATATATATGTTTTGTTGTTTACAAATGCAGGATACTTATTTTAATATTGTAAAATTGGCTTTTCAAATCTAGTATAAACTCTTTAAAAGAATTTTTCTTTTTTGAAGTCTTTCAAATCATGAGTATGTTTCCTGAGTTTTCTATATTAATAATGTGTTGTTGTCTTTAGAACATGAAGACTTTTTAACAGTTGCAGAGTCACTAAAGAAAGAGTTTGATAGCCCAGAAACTGCTGACCTGAAGTTTCGAATTGATGGGAAATATATTCATGTCCATAAAGCTGTCTTGAAAATCAGGTATATACATGAGCTTTGAGATATCACTCATCTTTTTTACAAAGTAGGGACTGATTAAAAATAGCCTTAGAAGTATAAAGAAATAATATAATGTAATATTTTTGTTGGATATTATCAGTCCATTTATAATTGAAGAGCTTTGCATGTCTGTGTGCACACTCATTTTTTTTT